ACCTGCTTCTTTCAAACTGATCACAATTGGTGTGGTCTCTCTTAAAAAAATAGGCCTGACAGTTACGTTGGAATCTCTTTAAAAAATAGGCCTGTTTTGGAATCACTTCATGCACTTCAAGGGAGTTGTATGTTTTAGGTTATGTCCAATAATTTCTTATCCTGGATTACATTTGCACGTATGACCAAATCAAATAGGAAAATGTGCTCCTCTTTGGCTTATAGATGTTTGGGAAGTAAGATTTTTGTAACTCAGTGGGCTGCAGACAAGGAGAGAGGGGACCTCAATGTGGATTTATTTTACTTTTAATTATTTATCATAGAAATCCTAATTTGCAGTGAATTAAAAAAATTTCTGGATCTCTATTGCCAGAAAAGGTCATCGGTGCAGTTTTGATGAAAAGAAGTTTTGAATTTACTTATAATTACTACTAAAATATTTACATTTTTTTCTTTTGCATTTTGCACATTCGGACAAGGTCATAAGTTTCATAAAGATGATTTGGTCTGAATGTAGGTTGCAGCGGGTGTCATTCAGTTGCCCTGGAATGGAGACAAAGGCTGAAGGATATTGGAATAATTTATTTTAATGTTTTGGTCAATAAATCTTTTTTTGGCAAGTTCCATATTGAATATGAAATATAATACAAGATGCATGATTTATTATAGAAATTGAATTAGCTTTGTAAATTAAGAACTTGAAAATCCGACAAGAGGAACTTTATGAATTTGTTCTTAGAATGGGGTAACATTTATGCTTCTGCTGTAATTCTGGTTCCTGGTTCTTAGTTCTTCTTGTAGGCTGTTTGTTTTTTTTTGGGGTTCTTCCCTGCGGCATGCATCTCTCTGTTCTGTTTTTGAATTTGACGACTGGGGGGCAATGATGAATGGGTTGCATTCCTTATCCCCTAGGACGGCGGTTTTTATGCAACTTCTATTGGATGGCAATTCCGCAATCGGGGGATGTTTTATGGCTACCTGGATGCAACCTATAACTTACCTTTGCCCTATTCTTCTGTCTTCTTGTGGCTGATCTTTCACTGCATTAACAGGCTGTTTTTCTCTTTTGATCACCTTTTTACATGCGTAACTTTATTTTTGCACCATTTTGGTGAGCATTTTTAGCTTCACCCCATTATTCTTCTTTTCTCTTCTCTTCTCTTCTTTATTATACATGTAACTAGTCTTTTTACATCAATGAAAATTGGGCTTTGCCCTTAATAACCCATCCCCCCCCCCCCCCCCCAAAAAAAAAAAAAAAAGAGGGTACTCCAAGAAAGGAGGGACGCCTCTGAGCATTTCAAGGGTTAACTCCTTGGAATCTGTCGTGCTTTCAGTGGGAAAATCGTTGAAATAATACTCTTCAAAACGATTCTCCTCATTTTGTTGGTCGAATCCGGAGAGGTGGGAAGAATCCTAGAATTCTTACGATTGGCCACAAAATTGTTTTTGCGAACGAATATTTGGCAATTTGGAGCAAAAGAGGGGGATGTTCAGGTGAAAGCGAGTAGAACCACGTTCGGTAGCTGGTCTTTAAGGGTGGGGGAAAGACCTGGCAGAAGGAGCGCATTCTGATTGCTTGTTTGAATATTGCATGATGGTTTCTGTAGTTAGTCGGATATGGCATCATATGGGTCGGTGTCCCGTCCATAGGACTCGATGCTAGGTAGCTTTAAATCTTGCCCGAAATTGGGTGTTTGGCAGTATGGCCTCAGTTAGAGGTGAAGATTCCTAGAAGTCTCTTCTGTCGGAGAGTTTGTCCTCGTATCTCTTGGGGGAATTCCTTCCCTTACTAATTTTTCGGCAGTTCGGGCGCAGGGCCGTCGGTGAGGGAGTTCTGGCTCCATGTGGTTGGCAGAGTTTTCAGTGAGATCTGGGACGATGGCGAGGCTGTTCGAATCGAAGGTGGAGGGATGTGTAGAACTTAGCCCGTATTGCAAGTTCATTATCCTGTCGAGACTGGGGAAAAATCTTCCTAAGTGGGGGAGATGAACTTCCTGCTCGAGGATGTTTCGAATTTGACATCCTCCACCCGCGTGGTGGATTTTGGGGGAGGAAAGAAGCTTCGCTCCTGCCAGTGCTAATCCAGGCTGTCGAATTCTCCCGGAGGAGTTGAAAGATTTCGTTCTTGTGATTCTTCCATTTTCGAATCTTTCTTTCCAAAGAAGGCCCTGACGTCCCTTTCACGGCGGCAGCAAATTTTGGGCCCCCGGGTGTAAAGATACGAAATTTGGTCGTCTATGGTTAAATAGACGAGTTTCTGGATTGAACGATGAGTTGGAGGCGAGAAAGCTCCAACCAAACGACTGCTGAGCGCCTATTCACCAATCCGTAGGCAGTACTCGAAGTAGTAGGATTGTGTTCCCTCAGTTGACGGGCGCCAAAAAGCTGTTGGGCGTGTAGAAACATACGCGGCGGTAGAGTTTTGTAAATTCGCGTCTGAAGCGTTGTACGTAATGAATTTAACACACAAACAGGAAAAAGGAATGAACACCAAGAGTTTTTTTACGTGGAATAAGAAGCCGCCAAAAATGGGAAAAGACCAGGGGCCTCGGCCCAGTTGCAAAATTATCCACTAGTGTTTTCGTAGATTACAAATGGCGGATTCCTTCCCACAAGTCGGGATAATCCAGAATACAATTTGTCCTTTTCCAAGCGAAATTCACAAAAATCCTGCGAATTCCCTGAGTTTCCTGAAATCGGCAGCGTTCCGTCGGCGTCTTCAACGGCAGGAAAAACCTCCGGCGGCGGTGGTCGAGGAGGTGAGATCTCCTATTTGCCCCTTTCTCCTTCTCCTTCCTCCTTCTTCCTCTCTCTCTTCACGTTTGAGCACCCCTTGGGTGTAGAATGGAGGGCTCTAATTTAAAGTTTTTTTCTGGAGTGGGCATAGCCCGTAAATAGGCCGTGAGATCAAGGGCGAGACAGGGATGTGGTTTTGAATGGACGGCCGATATGAATCCTTTGATCAATGCACCGTTTTCGTGTGACATTTGAAGGCTTAATGTTGTCGGGAATTCGATTGATCTTGGGCTCGTTTTTGGATTCGTCTCGTCGAGCCCTTTCGATTCGAGTATAAGCTCGTCAAAAAATCGGAAGACCGTTTGATAACTCAAATTGCGGTTTTGGACGCTTTGCGAACAGCGGCTTTGAACCTTGATTCGGACTCATTTGGGCTCGGATTGGGTTGAATCTTGGTGTCGTTGGGTTTCGTATGTTCCGAGACGCTCCAGTTTGACTGTAAAGCTCGCTGAAAAATCGGAGTTTCATATGCTTCAGCCGAATTTATTTTTTGAGTTTCACTAGCTTTTTGCCTCGAGATTGCGTTCCCGATCAAGCTAATTTTTTGGAGTAACGTATCAATACTAAAACAGAAAATAACGTCAATATGTATTTTGATATACATATACGGAATGATTCCAAAGTAAGTTCAATGAAATTTATTTGTATTTTATTTCTTCAATAAATTAATTTTAGTACTAACTTTAATGTCATTTTTATAGTAGATAATCAAATTTTTAAGAAGTAAAAAATGATTTAATACGAATTAAATTTATAAATTAATTTCTTAATGTTTCTTTTTCCATATTCTTATCATTTTCACATTTAAATTTAAAATATATCTTAATATATCTTAAATTATGATACATATGCTTATAGGTATTTAGGTGTAACCAACAAGAAAAGTTTATGTAAAAAATATATTTTGCTGGTATTTGTGACATTTATGACTAATTTAAAATTAATTTTCTTTATAAAATTACTGGTTATTTAAAATGTCAACTTAAAAATATCTTAAAATATAACAATCTATTTTGATATGATTCTACAAAGAATAAAGTAGCATGTTTAACTTTAATTTTTGATCATAGATGTGCACAAAAATCACAATATATGCTCTTGATCTTTGGAACTAAATAATTTGTTTATTAACTATATTGCAATTTGCAAAGCGCCTTTTGTATCAGACTTTTTTTTTTTTCGAAAAAATAATGGCTTATTTGATGTTATTGTTTTTTAATTATTTTAAATTATTTTAATGCAATTTAAAAATAAATAAATTATTTCTAAAAAAAAATACTCAAAATAATTTTGAGATATTTTCAGTGATTTTAAAAATTACTATAATAATTGAAAGCCATTGGCCCCTGTCACAACCATCATTAATACTATTGCTTCATTTCCTCACAAGTAAAGCACCGACTTCATGTTCACAAATTAATTAGCATTGATAAAAATTCAGAGATTATGTAAATATAAATCTAATATTTAGAATGAATAAAATTTGATTTCGTTTTATTTTTTTATTTCATTTATATACTGCATTTAAAAATCTAGCTCATAAAATTATTTAAATTGTTGGTATATTTTATTGAATAAATATATTTAATTTTGTTTTATATTATTTATTTTTAATATTTAAATTAAATATTTTTAATAATAATATTCATTTAAGTTCAATTTCTTTTTAAATGTTTTACTCAAACTCATGTGATGAAGAAAATTATGTCTTTAGTAAATAAAAAACTCAGTCTTATGCAACATCAAACATCATAAAAAAGATAAATATTTAATTTCTCTCTTTCAATATTATTTATTACAAAATAAATTTAAATTCCACTTACATCTAAAAATTTGATTATAGAAATATTCAAAATAATGCAATGATTAATTATTTTTGATTACACAAATAAAATATCATTCAAATAATAAAATCAAATTATTTCTCCAATAAACAAATAATAATAATATGTGATCATTATATTTATTATATATTAATAAAGGTGAAATTCCACCAACTTATTCAAGTGGAGATGCAAAGATTATTTCTCATATATTATCAGTTTTCTTTATAAATAGATAATTTAAAAAAAAAAATTAGAATCAATATTTTCAGAAAATTCAACGCATTGTAATGCATAATTTTTTTAAGTAAATAAAAAGTGCAACCCGAAATGGCATTTTAAGTAATAATACATCATCACCCAATAACTCAAAGAAGTAATTTATATCAATCTTTTTCCTTTCCAGTGGCAGCCCTGTTTATCACTGAATATAATTTCTTCAATGGCATCTGAAAAATAAAAAAGGTGTTGAGGTCATTCTACTATAAATAAAGAGTAATGAAAATCAGTAGTTTATAACTATTGTTTAGAACCCCCTATGCTATAGACTGCTCATTCCAAGAAAAAATATACCTAAGATGGGGGTATAAAGAAGAGTAAAAAAATGAACATTAAAGCTTTATCTATAGCTTCTAAATGAGAATTACTTTGAACGTCTATGTACAAATACATTTTATAGAATTTTTAAATGTAATGAGTTCAAACAAATTTAAGAAGGAGGTAGAATTTGAGGTCGTAAAATAAATAATTTATTATTACTATGATTATGAAGTTTCAAAAAGGTGTCTAGCCAAAAGCTTCTATAAAAATAATTTAAGAAATAAAGCTCACCCCGTCTAATGCTTCAGCAGCTGCATCAATATCATCCCTTGCAAAAACATTGAGATGTTCTAACACCTGTATAGAAAATACATCAATCAAGAACCACAATATTTGTACATTCTAAATAAAAGATTTAATATATATATTATATATATATTGATATAATATAATAAATAATATAATATTAGTACTACTATATAT